TTCAATAAATACGGTTGAATGTAACGCTGTGATGAATGCAGCCGACAGGAACTTCGAATCCTGGACTTATTGGGACGGAAATGGATTATTTCCCAACCTAATTGTAGACAACATTTCCGTAGGTCTTATTATTGATAAAAACTTTTTTTGCATTTATGTCAATTTTTTATTGGAGTCATTTTGTTCTGCACGCCAAACGAATTTATAATTCTCATTTTGGACAGTACCATCAGAACAAATTCAGGAAATAAATGGTATTTCCCATACTCGTATTGTCGTAGACGAGAACTCATGTGGGGAAATCCAATTTGTCGTTTAGTGCACAATCACACAGTGGCTTTGCAAAATATAGAAATCACACATATATAATATTTGCACATCTTCGCGTTGTCCTTTACATAATCCATCATTCCTCTAATTCTGTTGCTATTTCATTTCCTCTCCGATTTCCTTTCTGTTCTCTTCATTTCAATCTTCTGCTCTCGGTATTATATTTCCGATTGTTCCTAAATGCTTCTTAAAACTGTCAGCATACTAAGCATCCACCAGATTCTTCCCCTCGCCCTCCAAACGGTCGCTCCTGTAGATGTTTTGCATGCCGTGAGGCTTTCTTCTTAAACCGGACGTCCCACTTCTTATCGCCATCGACAGCGTCTAGTACACCCAACACCACATTGCCAGAACACTCCACTTTACGTCTACTTCCTAGGCCGAACCACACAAACTAATCACTCATCTCTCGGCCTCCCAACGGCGTCCGCAGAACTGCATCCCTTCCGCCTCCCCTTTGGCAGTAATACCAAGTGTAGCGAACTCAAGTGGGGAACCCTGATAAACTCAGAGATGAAGATTTCACCAAATCAAATGTTTTATGTTTATGCTTTTGATTTCGAGAATTTCTTTTAGAGCTTAAACAGCCCACACAAAATAAAACTACTAATAAATTAAGTGATGTATAGTTGGGGAAAGTGTTAACATGACAGTAAATAGTGAGTTCAAATACGTTGTATATTGCTTATAAAATTAGGCGTTTATGTTATCTTATTCACAGAGAGCTTAGTCGGCGATTCAAACAATTACTTTGTAAGGAACATATTCTGAAATCCCTCTTCCAGTCCTCATTATCTACATTCTGCTTGAATTTCATGTTATCCGAAATATTACAGTTAAGTGAACAAGAACAGAGAAGGAATTTATGCAAACCGATTTGTCAAGTACGCGTAACCGAAAAACTGTGATACACCCACCTAGTGTACGGTATTTGCTCTCCTGTAAGTTTCTTCATATATCAGATCTCCAATCAATGTTGGACAAATAAAGTCTAGTTAATTCCCGACTGTCCATTGATTACCTCTTTAAGTATTACTATTACTACTCTCTAAACTGAACTGTTTAAAGTATTCTTCAGAACTAATGACCTCAGTCATGTTGGTCCCTGTTACAATCAACTGTCTCAACAATGCTTTCTTCGTTTATTTAATAGAATTCTAAATATACACTCCCGCTATTTTGTATGGAGCAGGAACTATTATAGTCCACTGACTAACCAATGCATACGTTTTCTTTTGTGGGTGATTCTCACTACCATTACATGACTTCAGAGTTTTGCAGTTCAATCAAAAAAGAATAGGTGTAGAAAAAGCAAAGAATGAGAGGAGCTAACCACTATTCAAATGTCTTTTGCCTAAACACACATCTCTGTGATCGACAAATTTCCACTGTACACCATCACATGGTCAACAATCTTCTAAGATCATGTATAAGCGTAAGTTAAGATATATTATGAGTTGGTGAAATCGAAAGCCTTCGTAAACTACTAAGGAATTCGACTTAGCGGAACGCTCAGCCTTATAGAATTCACGACAATGAAACATGATTATGGAGTATTAATTATCGTGATGACGGTTTATGAGTTGGACCTTTTCGTACACATTTCGTATGGCCTTTGATTTCTCTGCAGAAATAATACCACACTTATTTTCTTGTTCACTGATATTCACGAAGAGAGATCGTGTGAGCGTCCGATCGCTGATGTTCTCTTCTGAACTACATTCCTTTAACTTTTCAATACATATTAATGCTTAACTTTACAATTATACATTATTTGCCTCCCTCGTTTGTTTGGCTTTGGATAACTTCGGAAAACTCCAGTATTAGGCAATATCAGACTTTCGTTAACCGTCTGCTGTGCTTAGTGAAAATATTTTCATCATCAGGTTACGATAACCCATCTCATGAAAACAAATCGGGAAAGTTTGTCATTAATAATAATACCCTAATGACCAAAGCGCAGTAAAATAACAATTGATTTGAAGAATTCAGTTCGCTTCGGATAGTTTTTTCTTCAATGTCATTTATGATAGAGTTCTAAAGTAAGCTTATGAACAAAAATATATGGTCGAAAATCATCAACAGCTGACTCCATTTCAGTAGTGATATTAATTTTAGAAGAGTCATTTTACTTCTTACTGCAGTCACCTAACTACTTAATCATTAGTCTTTGATCATTCATGTATGTCAGATACGATAAAACACTAATTAGTCATGGTTCCTTTAGAAATATTTAAATAACTATTTCATCCTAGAATATCTCTCCAAAGTTTTCTTACTTCCTTTGGCTATCAAGCTATCAGGTCATGATTTACACTGTCTTCAAATTAAATAATTTGTATATGTACTTCACATTAATGCAGTAGCTTGTTTCATTTCGTTATTTCATGACAGTAAATAGTGAGCTCAAATACGTTGTATATTGCTTATAAAATTAAGCATTTATGTTATCTTATTCACCATGCAGTTGAGATCATTCAGTCGTACATATCCACAATCAACTGCCGGTCAACCTGTCGAACTGAGATTCGATGTCGATTCAGGTGTGTTTTATTATGCTTTCGTACCCACACAGAAGTATTGTACAAACGTGGACGCAGCATTGTTAGTTGCAGAGATTTTTGTTCCACTGTCGATTCATTATCCATATGGAGTGAGAACTCGTTTTGTACCAGAACAATTATATTATAAAATGTATGAAAATAATACTAATTTAATGTTTGTCTATGCCCCATGTACGTTGATCAACACAAATATTGAACTTATGGAAATAACGATCATACCAAACCAAACACAATATAAGCATTCAGACAACAATTAGTCATTTACCAACTTATTCGAAATCTGTATCAATATTGTTAATTGTGAACTCCTTGATATTTTCACATCTTTCAACATATTTTGACTAAACTAAAGAAATATCACATGATAAAATTTGAATCATTACTGTAATACACCTAGACTACAATAAACTGCATGCGTTGCGTCAAACTAATAACACATTAATCATTTTGTTCATTGACCAATCACATATTACATTAATGACTGAATTGTAAGAAATTGTGAAAAAGCAGACGTTCAATGTTCTTCAATTCCAAGTGATTATCATTACGTTTACGTTCAAATGATTATGACGTACAGTTAAAATATTTAGAAAATTTCAAATACCACAAAAATAAAATGTTTCTCATCAAAACCCATTTTCGCTTCCAATGCCTTAATATTCTATATATTCGACATGTTTCAAATTTCCCTATTCATTAAATTCTCAATTGGTAACGTGGTCTTCTGTAGATGTGATCATAAAATAGTCACGTATTTTCTATAAAACATAAAAGTCTGTATATATTGTTGTTCCAAAAAATGCATATGTGGTAATGATATGTGTTAATCAACGACTAGATTGATAAGTTAAATTCTTTATCAAGTCGTAACACAAGATTCAGTTCATCAATTTTTTATTGTTATAGAAATATAAGACGTGGTTACATTTCTTCTCATAAGCACTTGATTCATCCAAACAGCAAGAATATAGCTACGCATACAATACCCACCTATTGCCACTTGTAACTCACGGTAGATGAAATTAACTGTTAACTGTACTGAAGCATCAAATCACTCAATTGATATATGCGCAAAATCGAAGTTCACGAATCAACGATTTATCAGAGATAGCGGTTCTTTATTGAATAATGTACGAATATTAGTTACACACCTCAACTTGTGAGGTGTCTGAGGCGTTTACCATGTCCTTTTGTCTGAAATAAGAAGGCTTTGATAGTGCAAAAGTGACAGCCGTTGGCTGTGTCATAACTTCATAACGGTTTATTAACAAGCAGAAACGGAGCTAAAAGCAAGTGATATGGAAACTGTTGCTTTTAAACAAGGGTTAAACGACTGCGAGAAATTGCGAACAACTGATACAATGATTGATATAAGTAATTATAATGATAAATACAATAAATGTTATAAGAATATGTAAATATTTCAGAGTATTACACGACCAACTTGCGTTACAACATAAGCGTAGAAATTGCTAGGAATACTTCTATTTACTAAATATTAATAAGTACTGAAAAATAATACGTAAAAGATTCGAAATGAAGTGAAGTGAATAAGGACAGAGAACGTAAGACAGAATTAACAGTAACAGTTTATTCAAAGTAAACATACTTTTTATTTCTTGGCTAAGATAAAATAGAATGATTCACCTTTTGAAACAAATAATACCAGCTTTTGAAGTTATTTCTGTGATTTAGAAATCTTCGGAAAAAAGAGTACTGATCGAATTTCTGTATTCTTTGTACAGTACAGTAGTTAACCAATTAATACTAATCCGTAGCTCATTAGGATGCTCATTAATAACGATTGTATTTGATCGATAATTTGTAGACATTGCTTGAAATTTCAGCTTCAAATTACTTGTAACAAGTTAAGCAACTACTGAAAATAGAATGATTAGCTAACTATTAATTTTTAATTAACTTTGATCCAATGATAGTTTGATAATTTATTTGGAAACAGCCCTTAAACCCTCAAGGTCACTGTGACATATATATAAGACCAATTAGATCATTGTAATAAATTAATCAAAGTAATCTGTAACCATTTATAGTTGTCTCATTTAACTTAAATATCTGATATATACCATATTTATCTTCACTCCCATCAGTGATTATAAAGTTACTTGTACTTGCACTTGGCAATAAATTACTGAGTATATGTTTCTCATTTAATTTACTATTTACTGTCAATCACTAACCTATTACATTGTCCTTGTGGTTTTAAACGGAATTTTTATTCACTTCGGTGAGATCGACAAGATCTTCAAAGCAACATAAACTTCTTGGAGACATTATGAACGTTCTAATTGATGCACTCTTACGTTTGTCATGGATAATGATATTACTACCAAAATTCTTCCATTCACAAGCTCATGCAAAAGTCACCATTGACGATGATACTGGTTACTTTGTTGATCCACAAGGATTTATTAAATTATTTCATGGAATCAACTGTGTGCATAAATTCGCACCATTTTACTTTCCAAAACTACTTGACCCTCATTCATTCAGAGTACTTAGAGATTGGGGAATTAATGTTATACGCTTAGAATTCAGCTGGATAGCATTAAAACCACAGGAAAACGAAATCAGTCGAGAGTACTTAGATATCATTGAAACGATTATCGACAATGCTGGATTATATGGAGTTTATATCATCATTGATTTGCATCAAGATGGATTATCGAAACGTCTAGGTGCAATTGATGCTGTGCCTAATTGGTTTATGGATAAAATAAAGCGACCACCATATTTATTTCAATGCCCTTGGCCACTAACGAAAGATCCAAGTAAAAGCCAATGGTTTCTAACGTACGCCACATATGAGAGTGCACATGTATTTGAAAGTATATATAAAAATGTTTCAGGAATATGGAATTATTTTGCAGAATATTGGATGATAACAACTAGTCGTTTCGGGAAGAAAGATAATGTTTTAGGTTATAATTTGATCAATGAACCACCACCTGGAAATTTTTATTTAAATCCATCCCTTCTTTTGCCTAGTAAGTGACAAGTATGCAATATTTTAGTAGTATTGTTTTTGGACATTTTTTATTATATTGCTTTATTCATTATTTCATGCCTTTTGACTTGATTGAAAATCTTGTTTTCACTTGCAAAGAATTCATTCGGATCAATTGATTCTGAAGTCGTTTGATGTTTATTAATTTCTAAATGAACCAGGTTTTGACTTGTCTGCTCTTTATCAGCCTTTCCACTAAAATTATCATCTTAAATCTCAATGAAAATAAATAACGTCAATACGCACATCAGTGTGCATATTTTCACTTTTAAAAGTGCACATGTTTTTGTGATAAACTAATACAGAAATATGTTTCAAGAGTATTGTGGTAACTTCATGTCGTATCACCTTTGCAATAAGTTTACATTACAAGATCGGTATGTCATTCAAATAGTTTACATATTTCTTTTACATCAAGGTCAATTTAATAAATATCATTAGATATTATTTTTACTAAGTGGAATTTTTCTGCAGGAATCAGTAATCACATTTCCAAATGTATTTTAAGGAATGAAAGTAGCTCTAAGTATTCAATCAGTCAGATGGTTACCAATCCACTCTCTTTGTTGACATATTGCTGAGATAGTTAATATTAGAAGTAACTAAGTTCTCACTATTTGTTTTCTATGAATTCTTCTACTAAGTCAAATGTTCAGGTTTTAGCTAAACTATGGAGTGAAATGTTATTCAGAAGGGTTAACGCTTATTTATAACAATTATTTACAACATATTTTTAACCTGGATTTTAGTAATTAGACAAAAATTCAGCAACAATCACACTCATTAAAATTGATGGAATGTGATTAAGGTTTTATTAAAAGTACAGTCATTCAAAACTAATTAAGATGATTTTGGAAGTAAAAGATAGACCATTTTCTCTACATTCAGCGTAAGCATATATCGGTTTTTCAGGCTAACTTATTTAACGGGCAGAGTCATTCGTACAATAACAACTTATCTATGTACCCGACCGTAGCTGCTACCTTGACGCGGTGGTCGGGCTTGCCTATCATGATGACCCAACCGAGCTATAAAACATATGTTCTTGTAGGTTCTATCATTCCAGGCAGGTCGATTGGAGAACGGCAAGACTAAAAGCAGCAACTCGAGGTCTGAGGGCGAAGTTGTACCGCTGACTGTAGAGAGGTGTGACAGCAGTAAGGTGTTTCCCTCGGACAACCAGCATGTGCAGCGATCCTGCCTCCTCACAAGGAAGGAAAGGGTTAGAAAATGTCGACCCTGAAAATGTCACACCTCACCTTACCTCACGGATTTCCGTCTCCAGCGGCAAGGCCCGTTGAAGAACGGAGCTAACACATTAAAAACCTAACACGAAAAGGTCGTGCGCGACCGGCCTCAAGCAGTTGTCCCTTGGGCTCTGCGGTCACGCTCCCAGGTCGTTAAGACCAACACTAATCCGATTTCTTTTTCAGGTTCCTCAAGAAATGCTCTTCTACGGTGTGGGCAGCCGGGAAGTGACATCTGCCCTCATATCCGTAGCAACACACGAGACCAATTTGGTCACATTCAAATCTTTCCTACACCTCCTGACACCTCTCATATCTCCACGACTAATCCTCCTCACGTCCCTTTATCACCTCGCACCGCTAGGGCAAACGATTTGAGTACGCGAAATGTTATTCCTGGTCTCCTGAAGCCACGCTCTAAACTACACATAGGAGCTTTTAACGTCTGAACACTGTGCCAAATAGGACAATAGGCTTCCTTAGCTAGGACTTTAGAATCTCGCGCCATTGATGTGTGCCGCGTCTCCGAAATGACAATCGTATTAAGAATAAAAAGATGTTATGTAGAACTATGTTACGTGTTTATAATTTCAGTCAGTGTGATTTCGGAATTCGCCATCTTCATTATTACGATTATCACTCATTCTGTCTGTTTTTCCATCGTGAATGTAATCAACAAAACAGACATCGAGATAAGATCCGCCAAAATTAATTGACTTACTCATTAACCTATACTATGCACGATGCCATGTTGGGTGATTGATTTGTTCACATCGTTTAATCTCAAAAGAAGTCTTACAAATGAAGAACATTTGGTGATTATTAGAAGAGAATAGATTTCCCTGATATTGATATTCTTAACTTGAATACAAATACGAAGGCTTAGATGTAAGATGACCCATTTAATAAGTCCCCAATAAAATTGAACGAGCGTCATGAATTTCATTACCTACCACAATCTATCTTCCTGAAAACATTCTGTCCGCAACAGATATGTTTATTTTTGTCAACTTTCACTTATATTCATTCTCAAAATCTATTTCAATTCTTACAATTCCGATCTTTTTCATTTTATATTCGGACAGATAATGCAGGTCACAGTCTCTTATCATTTTATGATTATTTGGTAAATGTTATCCGCCAAACAGACAAGAATACATTGATATTTTACGAGAGTGTAACTTATGGAATATATTTTCCATTTGTTAATGGAATACCTGGTACTGGTATCCAACGTGTTCCCGGTTTATTACAAGATGAGACGGCCAGAAAGAAGAGTGTATTATCTTATCATTACTACTGTTGGTTGTTGGAATCGACACCATCTACAGAGAATATGCCATCATGGAAACGATATTTGTGTGATAAAGTGAGAGTTCAATTACCTGGTTTATTGTTTGTAACGCATATGCATTCCAATGTCTCGATGCTTTAATATCAACATTAACCAACTGATATTTTTTAGCATAAGCTAACTGGCTTTCATTTTATTCGTAACTTGATTATCGGACTTGACTGGAAAATTTTGAAATCTGTTGTCACTCCTAATAATATTTTCTAAATAAATAAATGATTGGATCTATATTCAGAACAGCTTCATTCAATCAAGTTAAACGTCGAAGGACCGCTGACCGAAAGTATTTTCATAATAAAATGCCACTTACATTTCACACCATATCCTGACGTTAACCCGACAACTATTCACTAGTCTGTAGGGAGTGCTTAAAACCCTACCAGAAATCAAACCTAAAGTCTTAATATGTCTTAGCGAGTGCGTTTTCAGATCAGCACTTTAGCATACGATGATTGTCAATTTAGCTTCAGTCAGCTGAATTCCTTGCGTTATTGTCAAGCCCAAAATTTAATTATTTGAACAAATTTCATATAGGAAGAACGCCATTGATTATTGGATGTGAGTTAAGCAACATAGAATCCTCGATATTCTGTTAAGTTTTTGCAAGCACTAATCATGTGAAAGTAGGCTTTAGCTTCAGTAATTGATACCTCTCTTGAAAATATTATAAAAATGAAGCATTAGATCTGCTGAGATTTTACTCTTGATCGCCTCATTATTAGATATATGCCTTTCTAAATATTTCAACTAATGTCGATCATGATATTAAAATGATTGATTGACCACTCGAATCCTTTAGACCATGAACATTTGTCTAGTCGTAATTCTGAGGTGCTTCACAATTTTCACCTTTAAATAGTTTATTAATGCCATTGAGTTACTTGATGACTTATGAAAAGAGTTATCTGTTGGTTTTGGTTTGTTAGTCCTTGACAGAAATTTCGAAGCGAAATTATCTCTCATCTATGTAAACGTATGGAGTTATTATCGCACACGTTTCATTTATATAGCTGACCATTTTCAATACGCTTATTAGATATGTAAATATTGACTAGGAAATTAAATTTGAGTAAACTCAAGCAATTACTTGTAACTCATTTTTGTTCCCGAAACCATGTAGCACACTAAGAAATTTCGCTAGATCTGAATTACAAATCGTTAAGCCATATCGACGTTGAGATATTTGTCATTTATGACATTGCATGATCATCGAGCGCCATCGTGAATTGACTTAACAGTAATATTTAATGAGTTATATTTTATGTTAGGGGTCTACATTTTCATTTCCTACCTTCAGGGATAAATGTTTGTGCTCTAACATCTGTTGTAATTGTGTGTGATTACTCCTGAGGTGTCCCGCTATAGGACAATGATTCATATAAATATTTCTTGTTTTATGTAATACATTCACTGACGCTGATCCTCTGTGGAAACCAAAGCTTTCATAAGGATTAGGTTTAATACCAAAAATAGAAATGATAATAATAATAATAATTAAAATAATAATAATAATGAAAACAACACCAAAATATTCACGTACTTCAGAATTTATTTACTTAGAATTGATTGAAAAACTTCCATAAACTAGCTCATATTTATCAATTACCAATCACCAATTCATTTATTTTCACCATAAAAATACTCACAGTAAACAATATGATGATGATGAATAAGTTTGCAAAATTGTTAGAACGATTGTGTACTTTGTAATTGATTAAAACAAGTTAAATAAGATGAGAAATTTCTACATTCCTTCTATACAGTAATAGCATTTATGTTGTATGAATCATCCTAACTAGCAAAAGTTATAGTAATGGGTGTGTCTGAAGTTGGGCGTAGGTGAATAAACAACAATGACGAATAATTCTATACAGCAATGATAAGTATGGATTCTGTCATCTTTGTATTCTTGAGATATAGTGAATTAGCCAAAACCACCTATAAACTAACAGTGGAAGTGTAAATAGAAGCATTAGATTAATATGTATTTTGTGTTATCTTTCAAAGTAAAATCAGTTATTTTGTGGCCATGATTAAACTCAGTTGTTTATTGAAACCCATTCATAAGCACCATAGGATTTTGCATACAATCGTACACATGTTCTGTGTTGACACAATCTCCAGTTTATGAAGTAAAGTGAAATTCTAACCCGATTATTACATCGATAGATATAAGGGGAAGTGCAATTCTACTCTGTTATTCGCACCAACCTGTATGACATCAATTGTAAAAATGAAATTGACAAACACGTTATTTTGTTTGATCGAGCACCCATTTGCGGTCTGCACATACTGAATGTATGATGTTAGGCAAAACAGTGAATATTTCTTTTAAAATACAAATGGTAGTTACAACTGATATGGATAAATGTTTAATGTGTCCTTAATAAATGATGAACTGATTGTGTTGAACAAAACACCAGAAAACAAACTGAACTTAATTAAAGTGCTGTAGAGTAATCTAGGAATGAAAATCTAAACAATATGATTTGACATGAAAACTGTAATTAATAGTAACAGGTGCTAATCAGTTTATAAAATAAATGTTTGATGATTGAATGAACTGACATGATGTGATTTCATGAATACACTAACAATCAATGTATTCAAACCGTCCTTCATACTGTGTGGAATTTCATAACTAATTTCATTCTTCATATATTTGTGGTGATTTCTGAATTACGGCTCAGTCATAAATGTAATCAGTGATAGGTCAATGAACAAAATGATTAATGTTTTATTGCTTTGACGCAGTGTATGCAGTTTATTGCAGTCTAGTTTTATTGTAATAATCATTCACATACTTAATCAATGTTAACATTGATATTGCTTGTGTAGCTTCTCTTGAATTATGCATTCAATAATGTGAGAAGTATAGTTAAATACACTGGTGGAGGACGGTTTTTAACAGAATTCGGTCTGTGTCTTCCTGATGGCAATCCAGATTCAATAAATACGGTTGAATGTAACGCTGTGATGAATGCAGCCGACAGGAACTTCGAATCCTGGACTTATTGGGACGGAAATGGATTATTTCCCAACCTAATTGTAGACAACATTTCCGTAGGTCTTATTATTGATAAAAACTTTTTTTGCATTTATGTCAATTTTTTATTGGAGTCATTTTGTTCTGCACGCCAAACGAATTTATAATTCTCATTTTGGACAGTACCATCAGAATAAATTCAGGAAATAAATGGTATTTCCCATACTCGTATTGTCGTAGACGAGAACTCATGTGGGGAAATCCAATTTGTCGTTTAGTGCACAATCACACAGTGGCTTTGGAAAATATAGAAATCACACATATATAACATTTGCACATCTTCGCGTTGTCCTTTACATAATCCATCATTCCTCTAATTCTGTTGCTATTTCATTTCCTCTCCGATTTCCTTTCTGTTCTCTTCATTTCAATCTTCTGCTCTCGGTATTATATTTCCGATTGTTCCTAAATGCTTCTTAAAACTGTCAGCATACTAAGCATCCACCAGATTCTTCCCCTCGCCCTCCAAACGGTCGCTCCTGTAGATGTTTTGCATGCCGTGAGGCTTTCTTCTTAAACCGGACGTCCCACTTCTTATCGCCATCGACAGCGTCTAGTACACCCAACACCACATTGCCAGAACACTCCACTTTACGTCTACTTCCTAGGCCGAACCACACAAACTAATCACTCATCTCTCGGCCTCCCAACGGCGTCCGCAGAACTGCATCCCTTCCGCCTCCCCTTTGGCAGTAATACCAAGTGTAGCGAACTCAAGTGGGGAACCCTGATAAACTCAGAGATGAAGATTTCACCAAATCAAATGTTTTATGTTTATGCTTTTGATTTCGAGAATTTCTTTTAGAGCTTAAACAGCCCACACAAAATAAAACTACTAATAAATTAAGTGATGTATAGTTGGGGAAAGTGTTAACATGACAGTAAATAGTGAGTTCAAATACGTTGTATATTGCTTATAAAATTAGGCGTTTATGTTATCTTATTCACAGAGAGCTTAGTCGGCGATTCAAACAATTACTTTGTAAGGAACATATTCTGAAATCCCTCTTCCAGTCCTCATTATCTACATTCTGCTTGAATTTCATGTTATCCGAAATATTACAGTTAAGTGAACAAGAACAGAGAAGGAATTTATGCAAACCGATTTGTCAAGTACGCGTAACCGAAAAACTGTGATACACCCACCTAGTGTACGGTATTTGCTCTCCTGTAAGTTTCTTCATATATCAGATCTCCAATCAATGTTGGACAAATAAAGTCTAGTTAATTCCCGACTGTCCATTGATTACCTCTTTAAGTATTACTATTACTACTCTCTAAACTGAACTGTTTAAAGTATTCTTCAGAACTAATGACCTCAGTCATGTTGGTCCCTGTTACAATCAACTGTCTCAACAATGCTTTCTTCGTTTATTTAATAGAATTCTAAATATACACTCCCGCTATTTTGTATGGAGCAGGAACTATTATAGTCCACTGACTAACCAATGCATACGTTTTCTTTTGTGGGTGATTCTCACTACCATTACATGACTTCAGAGTTTTGCAGTTCAATCAAAAAAGAATAGGTGTAGAAAAAGCAAAGAATGAGAGGAGCTAACCACTATTCAAATGTCTTTTGCCTAAACACACATCTCTGTGATCGACAAATTTCCACTGTACACCATCACATGGTCAACAATCTTCTAAGATCATGTATAAGCGTAAGTTAAGATATATTATGAGTTGGTGAAATCGAAAGCCTTCGTAAACTACTAAGGAATTCGACTTAGCGGAACGCTCAGCCTTATAGAATTCACGACAATGAAACATGATTATGGAGTATTAATTATCGTGATGACGGTTTATGAGTTGGACCTTTTCGTACACATTTCGTATGGCCTTTGATTTCTCTGCAGAAATAATACCACACTTATTTTCTTGTTCACTGATATTCACGAAGAGAGATCGTGTGAGCGTCCGATCGCTGATGTTCTCTTCTGAACTACATTTCTTTAACTTTTCAATACATATTAATGCTTAACTTTACAATTATACATTATTTGCCTCCCTCGTTTGTTTGGCTTTGGATAACTTCGGAAAACTCCAGTATTAGGCAATATCAGACTTTCGTTAACCGTCTGCTGTGCTTAGTGAAAATATTTTCATCATCAGGTTACGATAACCCATCTCATGAAAACAAATCGGGAAAGTTTGTCATTAATAATAATACCCTAATGACCAAAGCGCAGTAAAATAACAATTGATTTGAAGAATTCAGTTCGCTTCGGATAGTTTTTTCTTCAATGTCATTTATGATAGAGTTCTAAGTAAGCTTATGAACAAAAATATATGGTCGAAAATCATCAACAGCTGACTCCATTTCAGTAGTGATATTAATTTTAGAAGAGTCATTTTACTTCTTACTGCAGTCACCTAACTACTTAATCATTAGTCTTTGATCATTCATGTATGTCAGATACGATAAAACACTAATTAGTCATGGTTCCTTTAGAAATATTTAAATAACTATTTCATCCTAGAATATCTCTCCAAAGTTTTCTTACTTCCTTTGGCTATCAAGCTATCAGGTCATGATTTACACTGTCTTCAAATTAAATAATTTGTATATGTACTTCACATTAATGCAGTAGCTTGTTTCATTTCGTTATTTCATGACAGTAAATAGTGAGCTCAAATACGTTGTATATTGCTTATAAAATTAAGCATTTATGTTATCTTATTCACCATGCAGTTGAGATCATTCAGTCGTACATATCCACAATCAACTGCCGGTCAACCTGTCGAACTGAGATTCGATGTCGATTCAGGTGTGTTTTATTATGCTTTCGTACCCACACAGAAGTATTGTACAAACGTGGACGCAGCATTGTTAGTTGCAGAGATTTTTGTTCCACTGTCGATTCATTATCCATATGGAGTGAGAACTCGTTTTGTACCAGAACAATTATATTATAAAATGTATGAAAATAATACTAATTTAATGTTTGTCTATGCCCCATGTACGTTGATCAACACAAATATTGAACTTATGGAAATAACGATCATACCAAACCAAACACAATATAAGCATTCAGACAACAATTAGTCATTTACCAACTTATTCGAAATCTGTATCAATATTGTTAATTGTGAACTCCTTGATATTTTCACATCTTTCAACATATTTTGACTAAACTAAAGAAATATCACATGATAAAATTTGAATCATTACTGTAATACACCTAGACTACAATAAACTGCATGCGTTGCGTCAAACTAATAACACATTAATCATTTTGTTCATTGACCAATCACATATTACATTAATGACTGAATTGTAAGAAATTGTGAAAAAGCAGACGTTCAATGTTCTTCAATTCCAAGTGATTATCATTACGTTTACGTTCAAATGATTATGACGTACAGTTAAAATATTTAGAAAATTTCAAATACCACAAAAATAAAATGTTTCTCAT